ATGAAAAAGCAAACCATAGATGAAAAGAAGATATTTGCAGCACAGATAATTAAAAAAGGACCAGGTCTCATAAAGAATTCGTATGAATCACAAAGGAAAAGCTGATAGAAAATTGGCAAAGGACCAAAAAAGGTAAAGAAAAAGAAGTTTGTGACAAATTGTCTAATACCCAAAACATAGACCACCCAGGTCAGAACCATCCTCCATATCTCTCATCACCAGTCTTTATGCTCATCTTTCTCTCCTCTCCATTCATTCATTCATTCATTCATTCATTCAACATTTATTCAACACATACTTATTGCTCATCTACTACCTGCCACGTACTGTTTTGGATACTTATATACAATATTGAAGACAACAGACAGAAATCCCTGCTTCTGTGAAGATTATATTCTAGCATTGGGGTTGGGGGAGGGTGAAAAGGCACTGAAGAAAATACACACTGAACATAATAGGTAAGTAAATTGCTTGTGTTGGATGAAAATAAGTGTTCTGGGGGGTGGGGGGGGTGGGGAATAGTGAAGGGCAGGTCAATCAGGAGTGCTAGGGTGAGGGTTGCAATTGTCAATGGATTGTCAGGATAAGCTTTCCAGGGAAGGTGAGATTTGAGCAAATCTTTGGAGATGAGGGAGTCATTTGAGATTACCTGAGGAAACACTATATAGTGGGGTGGGGGGTTGGGGTGGATATCTCCATCTAGGCTGGACCTGAGATAGCTGGATGAGAAGGTGAATCAGGCCAGAAGGGACAGTGATGGCCAGCTCTTCAGCATGGGGCAGGCACATTTGCTGTAGAGTTCCCTGGAAGAGGTTCTCAGATCCAAGCAACTCCAAGTTAGAGAGAACCCGAGTTCATGACCTGCTCTTTGCTTGAGGAGTAGATGTTCAGGAAGTAGGGAGTGCCAAATATGCAAGTCAAATTATTTAAGGTGCGATTCAACTTGGTTTAATAATTTAAAAAATACTTTTAGAATTTTCCCTGCCAGGGATCAGGCTATTAATTAGCATGTCATGGGAACCCAGCATATATTATTCTCTCAAAAACCCATTTGTAGTGGAAAATGTGCTGAGTCTCATTTGTGAAAGATAATTATAGTTTACATCTTTCAGATACCTGCCAAGTTCCCAGTGATTTCCCTCTTCTCAGGGAGCTGCCTTCAGAATCTACATTTCCACTGCCTGGCACACCCCCTGGTCATAGCTCTTTGGACCAAACCTGGAATCATGAGCAGAGCTGAGCCAATAAGAATTTTTTCTCTCTCAGGAATTTGAGATTGGAGCCAAGAGGGCCAGGCCACACTGTTTGACTGGAACTGTAAGATGCAAATTAATGGTCACATATCACCGATGGTCTTGAGGAGCTGAGAAAGTTGATTTGCAGGGAGGGAATAAAGCAAATGCAGAGAGAATAGCACAGGGGAGACACATAGGAAGTTCTGCCTTTCAGGTTCCAAGGCACAGTTCTTCCCTGAAGTGCAGGTGCCTCCCAACTCTGGGGTTCAATAAAACACTCCTCTATCCTTACTATTCATCACATTTGTTATGTTGGTTAGACAACTGGACTTCTAATCTAGTGATGCTACAGGTCTCCAGTAGGGAGTGCACTTTGATTTTTTTTCCCCATGAGGGACAATGGGTCTCTTTCTTATTCATTGATCTGTTCATTCATTCACAAAATATTGTGGGGTATGTATTAAGTGTTAGTGACTGAAGATATAAGACTGAATAACACATGGTCTTTGCGCTCAAATAATTCATTTGTCTTGATTTTTCTTTTTAAGGTGGTTTGGTTAGGATGTGGGGATGCAGTCTTTGAAATACCAGAATCCTCTTTTTGAGCTTGATGGATCAATGTACTCTTTTAGCGTATTCAGGATTGCTAGGTATGAAAAGTACTTTGTGAACTACAGACTGCTACACACTTACTTTTCACTGGTTACTTTTCATTAAACAATATTTTAAGGCTTTTAATCGTTTGGGAAAAGATGCTTTTTTGTGTGACCAAAAGATATAATCACATCAAATAATGATTGTGAGCTTTTGGAGAAAACAGGTAAATAAAAACCAACTGAAACAGAAATAATGCCTAACAAATGAGCTCAAATACACCTGGGATTGGTCTAGTCATCTGGGTGAATTGTGTAGCAGTTGGGATTTGGCTTTGATTCTTTTCAAATATCAGCGATAGATCCTGCTCACTGAGACACCCCCCCTTCCCCCCTCACCCCCACCCCAGCCCTGCTTTCAGCTGGTGCTTATTTTCAAAGACCCACTCATATCTCTTTTCCCTTCTACAATGAGAGTTCTGAGACTTTACAGTTCTCTAGAGAAAATTCATTAAATATTTATTAAGGTGAGTGCATTTAAAATTTGCTTTGCTGCCTTGAAATCCAATGTTCTCAATTTCAACAACCAGTTGACACTTAAAACAATAGAAGGGTAGGGACAGAAGGGCTGCAGAGATCATCTCTGCCCAGTTAAGAAAAAGGGCTTTGGAGACCTGATTGATATGTGGTCTCTGTTGTCCTTGTTAACTCTCTGAACTACATGTATACAGCAAAGATAATACTTCCTTTCTCATAGAGGGGTATGAGGATTAAATGGATGACATAGATCAAGTTGTCTGGGGTGTCTCTGACTTGTAGTAGGTGAAAATTAAATAGTACTAGCTATTGTTATTGTTATCATTGTCTATTACAAGTGATTTCCCCATAGTCACTCAACTAATCAATGCAGGTTTCAGGTCCTTTGAGCCTCATCATGGCTATGTCTTTGGTACTATACTTTCTCCTTTTGGTAGTGGCTTTAAAAAGTGAAATCATTACAAAAGGAAACCGAAAGAAAGATGGTCTTTGCATCGATAACATTCTCTTTAACATTACTGTCATTCTCGTTTGCTTGGTCCTTTTTAATATCCCTCTTTTATGATTATAGTTAAAAAGGGATGTGACCATTAAATTCCTATGAAGCTTTTTAAATTTATCTTACTTGAAGTCTTCGGGGTGGATGCCTTTTAATAATACTTGTTTCTCCCTGTTCCAGTGGGATGTCAAAATACATGGCCCTGGGCACTTGAAGGATTGGAGGAGAAGCAAGAAAAAACACATTAGAAACAATTTACTATTAAATAAGTTTAACAATTAGTTTTTAGACTTTGTTAACCAATTTTGTACCTTCTTTTTTTTTTAAATATACGTCTAACCTATGGGTTGAATGTGGAGATGAAACATATAAAGCAGGAACCCTACATGAGAGCAAATGCAAAATATTAGCTTAGACGCAGAATTTAATTTCTGTTTTTCTCATTTCCCCCTCAAACGTATTGATGACAACCCAGCCAGTATGGCTCAGCAGTTGAGTGGCCACCCAGGAACCAAGAGGTTGACAGTTCAATTCTGGATCAGAACACATGCTCGAGGTTGCAGGCTCAATCCCCAGTGGGAGGCGGGGGGGAGGGCACGCAGGAGGCAGTCTATTGATATTTCTCTCTCATCAATGTTTCTTACTCTCTATCCCTCTCCCTTTGTCTCTCTCTAAAAAATCAATAAAAACATATTTTTAAAGAAATGTATTGATGACAAATGTTATTCAAACACAGGATTTGGCATGAAAAATAGAAATGTATGGATTTATTTTAATTTTATTAAATCACCCCCAAATAATATAGGAAATCAGGATAAAATATAGCTTTAAGAAATAAAAATAAATTCTCTTTTTAGATGAACTAGATAGATAGATAGATAGATAGATAGATAGATAGATAGATATTAGGTAGAGAGGTAATAAAGAAATGGAGCAAATGCCCTAACCGATTTGGCTCAGTGGATAGAGCGTCGGCCTTCGGACTGAAAGGTCCCAGGTTCGATTCTGGTCAAGGGCATGTACCTTGGTTGCGGGTACATCCCCAGTAGGAGGTGTGCAGGAGGCAGCTGATCAATGTTTCTCTCTCATTTATGTTTCTAACTCTATCCCTCTCCATTCCTCTCTGTAACAAATCAATAAAATATATTTTTTAAAAAAGAAATGGAGCAAAAAATAAGAAATAATAAAAAAGAAATTGAGCATAAGTGTTTAATAGGAGTATGCAACGCTAAGCATTGTATGTTCCTAATTAAATAGTCCCCCTAACTAAGGAAAGACATTCTCACAGTCCCTACTGTAATATAGCATGTCAATATTCTTTCTTGATAAGACAACCTTGTTAGGAAACAGAGGCTCAAGAGCTCCATTGTGAATTGGATTTTTTTAGCTTGATTTTCCTGAGCCCTTGGGACTGCTACCATGACCAACACTGCATGAATGAAGTACTTGTCCTTTCCTCGTAACAGGCTGGAAGCATTCTGATTTCTAGATTCTTGTGTAGACTGTTCTACAGCTCCATGTTGCATTTTAAATGGAAAAATTCCTGGATAATTATGTATTTCTATCCTTAAGACACTTCAATGACCACCTTAAGCACTTTGCTCTGTCCTTATTTTCTTTTAAGAGATGCCAGCATAGTGAGCAAGACAGAAACAATAGCAATGGCAACCAAACACATGTGGGATTTAAAAATCTAAATATTTTCAGTAAAATTTTCTTCAGTAGCCTGACTCTTCTGTAATTATATACTATGATTTGAGTGATATCACCTCATTATTTAATTTGATTCTCCTGAATGGCATAGGCAGTGTCAGGTAGCTATTTTTATCCCTGATTTATAGTTGAAGAAAACAGAGAAAGTAAATTGCTCAAGTCATACTATTTGGTATTTGGTGGAGCTGCGGTTAGAATATGGGCCCCTGGAAAATAGTGGTCAAAATGCTCACTATCTCCTAGTTATTTATTTTTAATGTGATTTTGCCATTTCAAAAATAAGAACATTTCCCAGTTGTGACTCTAATCCACTAGAATCAGCTTTTACCATTCAGATACCAAAATCTTAAAACTGGATAAAGGGTTTAGATTGTTTTTAAAAAGAGACTTATTCAATAAAATTAAGAGGAAAATTTCCATTCATGACCTTAGGAAGTTGAAGAACATAAAAACCTAGGTCATGGGGAACGGGTCAAAGGTTGTCAGTTACAGAAAGTAGCCCTGAAAGTCATTCTAGGTAAGATTTCCTAGGTACCAACATAGATAGAAGGCTTTCTGGCCAAGTTGACCAACAATGGGAGCTTGATAATGTGTTATTGATCTAGAATGTGAAGAAAAAAGAAAATTACATACAAATACATGTGCTTGTATGTTTACATTATTCATGTACACATTTCTTCCCAAGTTAGAAATCTAGTAAAATATCCCAGAATAATTTATAGCCACTTCAGGCTTAGAGCTTCCTATTTTAATGGGAAAAAAATATTCTTAGTCCTGCAGATGACCATGAGAATATGGAGTTGGGGACAGGGTGACTCATCCACTCATCTGTACTGCAATAAATCAATTTTGTTTGGGGCGGTTTCCAAATTCACATTACAGTGAACTCCTACCGTGCTGCTTTCAAAATAACAAAGTCTGAGGCATTAAACACTACTGGGGAGGATGATTTAAATTTAGAATCTGATGGAAACACATGATGGTCACAAGGTAGCACACCTTTATCTAAATAATTATAATTGTCTGGCAAAGCTAGGCATAAACATTGAAAGCACTATAAACTAAACGGAAACAAAAGGATTTTTCCTTCTCATATGGAACTGGAGAGCATTATGCTAAGCGAAATAAGCCAGTTGGAGAAAGATAAATATCACATGATCTCACTCATATGTGGGATATAACGATCAACATAATTTGATGAACAAGAATAGATCGATCTAGAGACAAAAAGGGGGGGTTAGAGAGCAACTAAAGGACTTGTATGCATGCATATTAGCATAACCAATGGACACAGACACCGGGGCGGTGGGGGCTTGCCGGGGTGGGAATGGCTTGGCGGGGGAGGGGTCAATTGGAAAAAAGAAGACATATGTAAAACATTAGACAATAAAAAAAGATATTAATTATACTTAAAAAGAGAGAAAAGCCCTTTATGCAGTTTACACACCCATTCTAATGTATCCAGAATACTTAACAATTGACAAACATTCAATCTCCCATCAAAAGATGTTCCATAAGGTTTCAGTAATTGAGAAACTTTCTGAGATTATGGGGTTAGACAGGTAAACCTACCAATAGCTCTGCTTGGCACAAATACACAAATCTCACGCTGGGCTTCATGCTTACCTGCAGAATATCTTCCATAGCAGGTCTCTCGTAGAGGGGGCAACTGCCCTTCCCAAGCTTTATTCCGGTCCTGCCTTCTGGCCAGTGAATATGTACTCTTTTCTTCCAGGTTCTGAGTGAATGCAAACTCCGCAGGACCAGCCGAGGGTGTCTCTTCCTCTTTGTTTTGCAAAGGTGCCACTTTGATCACTCTAGGGTGAGCCTTAGAGTGGCTCAGGCCCATTTTACCTTAAAGACAGTCAAAGGAAAACCATGAGGGAAGTGGCGAGGGGCCTTTAAGGTAGGTCGTTTTAATCAAGGTATTTCAGACGTTCAGCCCTGCTTTCCAAAGCAGATGTTTCCTTCCTGACATCGTTGTCGGTCTACTTCACCACACACTAACCCTTCTGGCCACTTCCTGGGAGGTTGGTTTCCACGGAGACTTCCCTCCAACTCCCACTTTGTCATTTCAGACCCAAAGAATTCAGTTAAACATTGACTTGGTTATGCTACTTTATGAAAGGCTCAGTGGTAGCAATAGAAACCGCTATTGATCATTAAACAAATCTCTAACCCCAGGAAGGCCATTAACAGAGATGGAGAGCAGAGGGTTAGAGAAGTCTTAAACTTGACCCTTTCATTGCATGTACCTTTAAACCCCACCTGTAAGAACTACCAACTAAGTAAGAATAGCTAAATCACTTTTGGACAGGAGGGATGCATGCTAATAATCTAGGCCTTAGTCAATCTTTAATTTTAACTGAAGAATTTATCTTCCAAATAGGTAAAGAAACAGCAGAATAGCTAAAATAATTTGATTTTTCTGTCAATAACTTGTGCCAGAAGCCGGTCCATCCTTGCTGCTTGACACAGTCGCTGCAGGGAAGAAACATCTGCACAGCATATGTTTCAAGGGACCTGGCATATATGGCATACTGTTCTTAATATGTTTGCTCCCCTTCTTGGCGCTATGTGTTTTAACCAGCTGTGGGCAAGCTACGGCCCGTTTGAAATGAATACACTAAAAAAAAAAAAAAAAAGACCGTACCCTTTTATGTAATGATGTTTACTTTGAATTTATATTAGTTCACACAAACACTCCATCCATGCTTTTGTTCCGGCCCTCCGGTCCAGTTTAAGAACCCATTGTGGCCCTCGAGTCAAAAAGTTTGCCCACCCCTGGTTTTAACCAAGGTCACCTCTCCGAGAAAGGTTGTTACCCCAGGTAGGGATTTTTCCCCGGAGTTAGGGAGGGAATAAAACCCCTTAACTAAGTGCCAGGCTGGTAGTTAATCACTTTACAAACAATCACGCTTAAGCTACATAATCTCTACTCCCTGGAATGGAGATAAGAAACGCCCTAACCTTTGGAATAGAAATTGATAGGATTAAAATCAACTGGTATAAATACAGATGTAACAAGACAATAAAACACAGAACCTGGCTGGAGAAGCTGGCTGGAGAACCTGGCTAGAACTTGGCTAGAGAACCTCGCTATGCTGATCATCTGAACCCTGTCTACATGTCATTCCTTCTTCGCTGACTCCGTCCACACCTTTGGGGAACCCCTGGACCTGCTGGGGCTGGACCCCAACAAACTTGAATTGCCTTAGAAGAGATTAATACATTATAGGAGGATAGGGAGACAATAGGAATTTTCCTCCAAGATAATGGGACAAACTTCTTGAATAAATGGTTCAAGTAAACCTTGTGTTTTAAAAGGTAGGCTATTTACTATGTTTTAAAAAGTAGGGGAGAAAAAGCACTGGAAATAAATGTACTGAAATGCTGAGTGGGGGTTTTTGAATGGTGGAATTATGGGTGATTATTATTTTATTTTTTTATACTTAGAAACAGAACTCACTTTCATGTTCTAATTGTTCATGTTCATCATAACCTTGTAGTGAAGTTCAAAGAAATTTGTTTTCCATTTTTGCAAAATTCATTATCTAAGAGGCTAACATTGGTTTGGAAAGTCTTGATAACCAATAGAGTTCATCTAAAAAGATGTTTGAGCTTAACCTTTTCCTACTTAATTCCCTTTGCATTTTATAACCATGTTCTCTGTGGCAGAGAGACTTGTAAGAAAGAATCATATGTTAACAGTATCTACAAACAAAATTATGATAAAGATGAAGATATTTGAACAATATCGAGCATATTTTTTTTTGATACAACCAATTTAAGTATTTCTAAGGGCAGGGTAAAGTATTGCAAGTCATCAAATGAATGAGAAATTACATGGGGACTTCATGGATCTGGATCAGGGAGAATTCCACTCTCATATTCTTTACTATTATCTAATTTTGAGAGATTGTATGTGTGGAGAATATCAGTCTTTGTAAGGAAGTTGGTTAGTTGTTGAGGAAATTATTTTAAAAATGAAGATTCACGCCATGTTTGTTTCTCTTTTTTTTTTTTTGGCGGAAAATTTGGTTCCTTTTAATTTTTTTTTAATTTTTTATTAGTTAAGGTATTACAAATGTGTCCTTATCCCCCCCCCCCCATTAACCACCCTCCCACACTCATGTTCTCATCCCCCTGTTGTCCATGACCATTGGTTTGGCTTATATGCATGCATACAAGTCCGTTGGTTGATCTCTTCCCCTTACCCCCACCCTCCCCTACTTTCCTTCTGGGGATTGATAGTCTGATCGCTGTTTCTCTGTCTTTGGATCT